TTTCGGCTATCTATCTATCTATCTATCTATCTATCTATCTATCTATCTATCTATCTATCTATCTATCTATCTATCTATCTATCTATCTATCTATCTATCTAATGGTAGTTCTAAGCGTTTTTCGTCCTTAGAAATACACTTTATATCATTACTGAGGCGGGTTTTGACCCATTCTGTCAGGGCCAACCAAGACTGAGAGAGATACAACGTCCTGTCAAACACCCATCATCCTCATCTCCCGTGTTTGTTACTCTCTTGTAACACATCTAATCTTCGGCACATATATTACCTTATTGTTTTGCAATTGCCGTAAACTCTTACTAAAACTAAGATAACATCCTCTAAAATATGCACTTCTCCCGCAGGGTGACGCCGGCAGTCCTCTTGTGTGTAACGGCAAGTTGGTAGGTGTCATATCCTGGGGCCTTTCCGTCTGCAACGGCTGCTTCCCGGATGTCTCCTCAAGGATCACAGCTTACAGGGCCTGGATCCGAAAGATTGAGCATGATTATTAAGCTAGCTGTAGTCTTACGTACCAACTCGCTGCTCCAGACGACGTTCCTCACGATAATTATTATATTGTTTGAGGAGAATTTGAATGAATACATCGACATGGCCAAAAGCAAGAGGATATGAAAAGATAATCTGTACCACAAAAAGTATTTTCGTTTTTGTTTTTCTTTTGTTTTTGTTTTGTTTTTGTTGTTTTTTTGGTGGGTGTGTGGGTGTGGAGGGGGGGGGTTAGGGGCAAAGTGTTTATGATGACATTGATGATGACGGATCTTATAAAGATAAAATGGGAGAGTTGGACTGGAAAAGAGAAGAGTTTTGAAATAGAAGTAGAAACAGCGGAGCAAATAGTCATAGAGCGCCAGCCAAACATGTGCCAATAAATCATTAACTTTTCTGTCACAATATATTAAAGGTTAAGTAAATTAGAAACAATAAAACGTGAATTTCTTGATAACATACTGCTAAATACACATACCTCTGCAAGGTAAATCTTTTTCACTATCATTTTGATCCTCAGATGCTGAGTCAGTAAAATTATTTGTTCCTTTTTTGTTCACCACATATTGTGTTGGAAGGAAAGTATTTACTTTGACTTTCAAAATTATGAGTATCCTTTGGTATGAGAAATCTAAATCGCGAATCAGTTGGGTTTTAAAAAATATGAATATGTCTAATATTCAGGTACAATTATATGTCTTCTATCAAGAATATAAAGATGTGCAAGGCAAATAAAAAAAAGTGTGCATGTTGACAAATGGTACTATAACTGATCGTTGTTGGTTTTATTGCAATGTCTAAAGTAAATAAGAAAATAAATGAGCTCAAGAAGCACAAGCAAACGAGTGCTTACTATTTATAACCTGAGTGTTTGTGCATGTTGATACCGTTGTTATGATCTGGTTAAAAAGGGCGCCATGTTTCTTTTATATTGTTACTGAAGCAAATGGCATGCCCTACATGGTATGAAGTTAACACATCTTTCTATTTTGCGTTTATTTGAGGGGTAAGACTTCCAAAATTTAACAACCATCTCCGATAGGTTAGGAAGAGAGCCTAAAAACTCTAAGAACAGCAAGATCAATAATAACCTATCAGTGGTTTGAAACCGGTGTCTGTGGTATAGAGCTTAGGTGCTTCGCCGCAACACACAAAAAACCCACGACCCGAGTTTGATTCCTGAATGGCGAGGATTTTTATCTAACATTTTGGTTTTTCTTCAGGGATGTTGCATTCTTCTCAGTCCGAGTTGGCGCTGGCAGGCAGGGGGAAACCCAGTGTCTGTCTTGTGGGGTGGAGCTTGCAGCTTTAGCCCGCCTGGTTTTCTCCACCAACAAATTACTCCTCTGACTAAAATCAAATCAAAACATTTCACACAAAAATATTGAAGGGACGAAACATAATAATAGTGTATTCCAATAAAAATGCGAAACGTCACGGACACCCAAACGAAACTCCTTCCTAAAGCACCATAACTCGAAACGTGACCTGGTTGGTCTGTGTGTCTACTACTATTTGTTTTGCACTAGGACTGTAGCTCCATCCAATCAGGCACCTTTTCCGTCTGGGAGAATGGTATTTTATTGGTTTGTACCTTAAGCCCTGTCGCGTACGTTCCCACAGACTGAATATCACAGGGATATTGACCATGTTCTAGGCCGAGACAAAGAATCTGGTGGTTCTATTAGGCTCGGGGGGCTGAAGCCGCCCGATCATGGCTTCATGGCTTGACTCTTGACCTAGTTTGCACACTTTCGCGGCTACATACCAAAAGCGTAGACGGAGCACACCCTCCCCTCCCCTTCCCCCTCCTTTTTCCCCTCAGCTCTGTGTTTTCTTTCCTTCAGTGTGGATGTCAGTGCGCTTAGATTGTGTGTAGGGCCTATACTTGCTTTGAGTGTGTTAACTGTGTACTGCGTCTAGAGGTAGGTAGGCGATTCCGGTTGTTGTTTTTTTTGGGTTTTTTTTGGGGGGGGGGGGGT